TTTACCTTGTATATGCTTCCATTAGGTAAAGTTATTTAACAGCATGGAATACATTTTCATTGTTATGCTGATGAAACAATGATATACAATATTTGTCCATGAAACCCATTGAACCCAATCAGCTACTTAAACTACAAGCATGTCTTAAAGATATAAAAACCTGGATGACCCTTAATTTTCTCCTGTTGAACACAGACAAGACTGAGGTTTTAGTTTTTGGACCTGAGCACCTTAGGAATTAATTTTTCAGTCTTTCTCCCTCCTTAGATGACATTAATCTGTCCTCCAGCTCTAATGTTAAACAGCTTGGTGTTATTTTTGATCAGGACATGTCTTTTATCCCCCACATTAAAAACAGTACTAGAACCACCTTCTTCCATCTGTGTAATATCACAAAAATATTTTATCTTATCTTATCTAACAATGATGTAGAAAAACTGGTTCATGCATTTGTCATGTCTAGACTGGACTAACACAATGGTTTATTATCTGAGTGTCCAAATACTTCTTTAAAACGTCTTCAGTTGATCCAAAATGCTGCTGCCAGAGTCTTAACTGGAGTTAGTGGGAGAGATCATATCTCTCCAGTTTTAGCTTCTCTCCATTGGCTCCCTGTCAAATCCAGAATAGAATTCAAAATCTTACTTCTAACCTACAAAGCTATCAACAACCTAGCTCCATCTTATATTACAAATCTTATTGTTCCATATTTTCCTAACAGAGCACTTTGATCTCAGACTGTAGGCTTACTCGTGGTCCCTAGAGTTTCCAAAAGCAGAATGGGAGGAAGATCTTTCAGTTATCAGGCTCCTCTCTTGTGGAACCAACTTCCAGTTTCTGTCCATGAGGCTGACACATTGTCCAGTTTTAAGACTGGGATTAAGACTTTCATTTTTGATAAATCCTATAGTTAGGGTTGACTTGTTATGCTGCTATAGGTTTAGACTACTGGAGGACAAAGTGACCTCATTTCCTTAAATGAATTGTTGCAATTGAATAGTTTTCATTTGATATTATTTCTATCATAACACGTGATTCTTGACCTGCCATTGTGTATCTGTTCCTCTCAAACCCAGCTGGTTGAAGCAGATGGTCACTTGTCCTGAGTCTGGTTCTAAAGGTTTCTTCCTCATGAGGGAGTTTTTCCTTTCCACTGTCTCCTTCATGTTTGTTCAAGATGAGAGTTCTGGGATGGAGTTAAACTCAAATCAGTCTGCTCCTCAGGTAAATAATGTTAAATTATTAATTTTATATATAAATGTTTCTGTTCAGTGCCCTGAGACGACTTCTGTTGTGGCTTGGTGCTATAGAAATAAAGCTAATTGAAGTGAATCTGGACAAGTTTCTTTAAGGGAGAAATGTTTTTTTTTTTTTAATTCAAAAGACTTCCTCAGTCTGTGGCCTGCCAAACCAGAAGTGTCCCATAAATATCCTTCAATGATGAGTTTCAAGCCAAACTCAACTGGAAGTTGGTTTGAAACATTT